CATCCATCAAAACCATGTCTTTCCAGTTTAGAGACAAGGATGTCGTGTGGGACAGTATCAAATGCTTTGGATAAGTCCAGGTAGACGATGTCAGTTGCTCTTCCCCTATCCATCAATGCTGTAACCTCATCATAGAAGGCCATCAAATTAGTCAGGCACGATTTGCATCCTTTGCACTGCCCTTTGCCCACATTAGTCAGGCACGATCTTGAGGTCATCTAGCAAAAGGTTAACAAAAGCAAAACCACTCAAACACTCCCACTCATCGGAGGGGTGGGAGTGATGCCTGCCTAGTTCTTTCTCTAATTCCCTTAACCTTTTGGATGTTTCCAGTTACTCCTTTCTGGGACACTAGAATGGACACCACTTCTGACGCTAATGCATATCAGTTTTGAAGGGTTTCCAGCTACAGCTGATCAAAACACTTGACCCTAAAAGGACCTTTTCACTCCATTTGCAGCTCAAAAAAAAAAAAAAAAGAAACTTCATTTTTTGCTATCCATCGCCCACTCTTCCAGCCTCATCCTCTGAGGCAGAAGCTGTTCCCCACATGTCTGACCTGCACTGGGTCCCTACATCATGACTCATCCCCTCACACCTACCGTATCAGCAGCCCAGGCTTTTTGCCGTCTTTCTTGTTGACTTGCTTTGGGAGTAAGTGTGCATTATGATAAGTAACCTATGAAAATACAAATGAGCAAAAAGGCTCCGTTAACTTCCACATCACTGCCTGCTGGGGACTGTCTTTGATTACATCTGACCTCTACAGATGTAGCTGCCAGAAACACTGGTAGACCTGTGCTTGCTTCTGCCCACAAGACAAGGCAATTAGTCCCTCAGTGACACCACTCTCTTTTTAGAAAATGACCTTTCACTACTCAGATCCTAGGGATCTGGGCTGTGTTTGATCGCTCATATTTGAACTGGAGGTCAATCTAAAGGGTGCTCTCCTCTGTTGTACAGATAACATCTCAATTCTCAGAGATAATTGCAGTATGTAGTCAAGTAGTCAGATCTCTTTCTCCAAGACAGCAGTCCTTTATGCACCAAAACCACCAACAAATTTAAACTTTAATGGGAAAGTAAGTAATTAAAATCTCCTTATTATATTAAATAATTCATCTACTCAAGCTGAACTGTTTCATTTATGCTTATCTGAATTTCAGAAGTAGGAAAGTCATATAACTCATATAAATTTTGTTCAAAATGACCAAATGAAGAAATCTGAAAAGGGAAAGACTTAACGCTGTTAACCTCTGATTTCGTTTTTACATTCCAAAACATAAAAATAAGTACAAGAAAGTCATGGTCTCCTCCTATTTTAATCCAAGAGACGCTTCCAGTACAGCACATAACGTAGAGAAAAAGGTCTGCAGTATTTTTGCAAGATGAAATAGAAAATGTAAACAACGAACTTTAAAATTTATTTTCATTTCAATACTAAAATTGTCCTGCGTGCAATAAAATATTTATTTCAGGGCTGCTACATTTAGCCTGACACTATTACTTTAAATAGCTGCCCTACGAAGCACCTTGAACATGTCAGGACTTCGATGGTTAAGACACCTCCTTTGTACACCGGAGACCCCAGTTCAGGTCCTTGCTCCAAACACAACAATGGAAGAACCCAAACCCACCCCTTTCACATTCCCGGCAAGTCCATAACTGTTGGTCTACTAATAAGTATGGATCTACCCCTTCTCTTCAGATATCATTGAAAAACAAAACTCTAAAGTGTCCGTGTTTGCCATTGTTTCTTGTTCTCTTGCACGCACATGTGAGATGGGTACCAGGCTGTCCCTGTTCTACAGTTCCATCTACTGTAACTTTAATGCACCTGACTCCCAGTCACCCGAAACACCAGGGACTCAGTTAATGTATTTTCACATTTCTAAAACTTCAGAATTTATAAGCAATAACGGAAGTCTTGTGGCTGAATGCCTCAGAAGCAGCGTTTATTATGCTGGTGTTTTCTGAACTTTTAGTTATTTTGGATACAGTGCCTCACAAGATTTTCATTCTTATTCACTCAGATCCTTAAAAAAAAGAGGTAAGATGGGATTTGCTTTGTTTCATTTTGTGGTCAAAGTGAAACATACTTATCCGTGTTACCAGCTCTTTTGCAGACACTTTTTCAGAGCTCTTATGGAGATACTCGTATGCCCTTGTTAATAAGGATTCTGCAGTAAGAAAAACTTCCGTCTGAAAACCACTTACATATTTTCCTGGTTTAGAGGAATACTGCAAAATTTAATATTACCCTTTGCTTTGGCATCTGAAGCGAAGTAGCTAACCTTCTCAGCTCCAATAAGGTTTTAGAATAAAATAAATAGCAAGTTGCGTTTTCATAGCATTTTTCTACTTCAAAACAATAGCTGAAAGTTTTTTGTAAAGAGGCTGTACGTAGCAATAAGAAACTGAAGATCATACTAAATCCTTTATTTCTCCCACGCTTTTGTAAACATCATCTGATTAATTCAAGATGACCTTCCACAATTGGATACGACAAATCTGCAAGGGCAGATGGATGTTCTCATCAGAGGAGAGGACAGTCGACCCAAGTTGTCCTGCCAGGAGACAAAGGGAGGAAGAATTCACCTCTGGCGAACATGCAACTCCATTAGCGCAGTCCTAGACAGAAGACTGGAAGGGTCTTATAAAGAGGCAGAGAAACATCAAATGCATGGGCTCTCACTTCTCAGAGAATATGACTTAGAGATCAAACTGTGCTGAAAAGAGAGCCTGGGCATTCCCCTCATTACAACAACCAGTATTTAGGAAGATCAAGCAAAGATCCAAGCGAAGGTTTTAGTGTTCTTTCTGTCTTTTAAGGACAAATGGCCCAATAATTCACCTCAGATTTAAACTGATTAAAACTGAAACTTAAGCTTGTCTGCAAAACTGTAGCAAGAGTGACCGAGATGTTTATCACGCTATTGAATTTAGACTCCAGGTTTGTCTTCTACTTCGTTCCCTAATTCTGCCATAATGCAGCAGCTCAACCTGCACGTCTGAAAACATACAACAACACAATACGATCATTTATCTGTTCCCAACAAAATATGGAAACAAAGAACAATTTTAGAAGACATCTTTGCAAATGAACTTATTTCCTATCATCTTAATTATCCTGAGGTCACAACTGGTGTTACAATTAGTCTTAAGAAGGCATTAAAGACGTTTACTCATCCTCTTTTCCACCTTGTTGGGGAAAAAACAACCATCTCTCCAAGGAAGGGTGATCTTCAGATCTTACAGAAAAGGGGAGCTTGACTACTTCTTCAAGTGGACCGGCTGTACGAAGCCACACAAAAAGGCACTTAAATCCTGTATCTTGGCTGCCTGAATTGTAAAACGGAAATGCTAACATGTGGTTTGAGCAGGAGGTTGGACTGGGTGACTTCCTGAGGTTGCTGCTGACCTGAATTTTCTGATGATCCTATTTGGTCTGAGACACATAAGGTCGAACGAGAAGGCCACTCAGCTATTACAGGGTTGATTACTGGTGAAAATCTCAAATCAGTATCCTAACATTTTCAAGCTTTTAATGCATAGCTTTTTACTAGCAATATATGGGGACAAAAACGCTTCTGAACTTCACGGTTTTCACAAGTGCCATCTATGAAAGCCAGAGAAAAACAACGGTCATCCTATTCTGGACAATGTGGCAGAACCTGCTGATTTATGTTGGTTTTTAGAAAGCAAATAAACCAAAAAACAACAAAACATTCAGTCTGACTACATATATTTTTTAAGTAACACTATGAACTCAGAAGGTGTTTCACTGAATATTATGTGCAAGTGAATTTACCAGGAAGGATAAGAAAAGCTCTTTGCAAATAGACTGATGCCAACACAAAATCATGAAAAACAAAAAGAAAAAGCACTTGTCATCTTGCAACACAGAATACTCAATTTGTTGTCAGTTTTTCACCACTGATAGAAGCAAGTCTGCTTAGCATTACTGGATATGTTTCTTTTATACTGATGTTCAGCATTTCCTAGAGGACTCATTCCTTTCCTCTCTCAAAGCAGTGAAGTCTTTCCCCAAAGTTCAAGGTTCTAGACTCTGTATTTTCAAGCCTTTTCTCTTTACATCACTAGCCAGCATGAAATTCTCAGTTTCTCCTTCTTTTACTATTATTCCACTTAAATATCAGGAAGGAAAAAAAAAATAGACAAATAAACCTTTAATTTCTTGCTGTCACGTACATCAAGTCTCAGATTAAAGAACAATTATTTTTCTCAAAATCATTCCCTATAAATAGTTTATAATTAAAAATATCACTACCTAGATGTGAATGCTGAAGACACATTTATGTGTATTCACAACAGATCCTCAAGAAACAATAAATTTAAAAACACTCCTCAAATCCCCACTTTGTACAAATTTTATTTCCCTGCATTGGCCTTTTCTCACCACTATTTTCTATCAATTCATTTCATAGACCACATTATGACCTATCTGTATACCTATACAGGGATACAACAGAACATAAGATACTATATTCTCACTATACAGCATAAGTAACTGCACACTCCCATGAGTATAAAGTGGTTGCAAGTATGACAGTAAAAAAATAAAAAAAAAATCTGCTAGCAAGTAAGATGATTCTGTGTCTAATTAGAAGATTACTTCTCAGGGTGAAGCTGGGTCAAAATAATCTCTTCCTGTTAAGACGTGTCCTCTTCTGAGAGTACCTCGGTTGCAGCACGTTCTAAAAGCAAAAACACTGCAAAAGCAATACAAAGTCCTACACTGCAGATGGTCTCAGTTTCTGCTAATACTGTTTTCAATTTTCTAGCAGATCTCTCAAATAGTGGAGTTGTGATTGACTTTGGACTGCTTAGACACAAATACTAGTCTTACCGGTTCATAGCACTGCTTACCAAACTTGCCTCTAATATCTCATTTTAAAAAAGAAAAAAAAAAGGGGGGGCAAGAAAAAAAAAGGAAAAAAAGCTTAAGACAAAACAAAAAAAAATCCAACTCTCCTTACCTTGCTGGAGGCACATCAATATTTGAAGAAACAACCTTGCGCTTCTGTTCCAGAAGACAAACAGAACGAGTGTTTTCCTTTTCATACTCATGAGCTCTGTTTGTTTTTTTGGTCTCTGCTGTTTTTAAATCTTCCTCCTTTGTGGTGAACAGGAGAAACTGTTGGTCTGGCAGTTTTTGACTGATGTCACTTTTTACATCCTCCTGTTGAAATGCAGGGAAGGTCATTTCACGCTTGATGCTGGATGCCTGTAAAATTGAAAGCAATTATTAAATTTTCCTCTAATTCTCCTAAAACGTACGGGGGGGAGGGAGGACACACACACATGACCCAATACCCACAGGCGTTTACTTCTAATTAGTTCTTTGAATCACAGAATACTATTTCTTTGCCCTTCATAAATTCTGAAACTGCCATTAATTTCTCAAGAGTGTTGAAGACTATCCAGGAAAAGACGCAATTCTTGTCCGTTTGATAAAGCAATCAGTTACTTCTTAATGTTAAATCAAAAAGGTATTTGAATTGGAACATCGGAAACCACACTATACACACACAGATTTAATGTACACACATCTGTGCTGCTTAACTATGCTAAAGAAACCCTGGCTGCCCTCCTCCTAAAATTCCAGGAAAAATGTCGGAATTTATCCAGATAAAAGGCAACCAAGAAATTAAGGCGCTTCTGACAGCCAGTTACCAGATTCTTTAACAGCTGTATTTGTAAATGAGGATTTCTCCAGGAGCAGGAAAATAATTCACCATGATCCAACTCAGCTGCCAGAAGGCTAACAGGAGCAAGCGATGCCAGCAGGACCTCCGTGAGGAGCCCGTCCAGCAACAAGGAGCACGGACACACACAGGAGCAGTGTCAGGATGTCTCTTTGGCTGCAAGCGCTTCCCAGATCTTCAAGTCTGCTGCTTCCCATAAGCAAAGACTTCCTAAGCAAATAGGCATCTTAACAAATACACTACCCCTCTGGAATACAACATATTGGCATTTATAAAGCAAACGCAGAGTTGCAGAAGAGCATGGAAAGCCAACAGAACCAAGCCACTCTGTCTTCCCAGCAAGCAAAACAAAGCCCAGGACCTAGATTCTCCTACAAAGTGCCATTCCCTGGCCAGCTACGCTTCCTCAGCTTCAGCCGGGCAGACCTACTTCACACGCTGTTGTGAACCTCTCACCCTATTGTACATCAGTCAAGCTCCTCCTTGCATCCCTGCCTACCTGCAGCATCTGCTAATAGAGTTACTTCTAGATATCTGTGCTTTTAAGATCAGGAGCTTCAACTGCTAACTTGCTGTAAGGCCAGGAGATGCACCAACCCAAAGAGCCAAGCAAAATACAGTCCAACAAAACAGCTGCTTGTCCTGCCTTGGGCAGAAGTATTCCCACATCACATGCACCACCTCGGAGAAATCCAGACGCCTTCTAAGACTTGCAAACTGGATTTTTAGATACTTGCAAATTATTGCTCATCTTTACAGCGGAGAAATCCAGGATGTGTCATCCTCAGATAGTAAAAGCACCAATAAGTTGAAATTCTTATGTAAACTCTTCCCCTCTTACGCCTCCTCCTTTCAACTGTCAAAAAAAATTAATCAATGTATTTGTGTATATATTTATGCATTAAAATACATAAAAATCTATTCCTCTCTCCAGAAATCTCTCCTTTCAGCCCTGGAAGGTATAAAAATCATGAAAGCAATTTTAAGTTCACAGGAAAGGCAATCTTGCCAAGGTAATTTTGTTTTGTTAGGTAAATTATGTAACACTGCTAACGCATAAATGCTTAGGACCAATGATTTAATTGTCTCATTCTAGTGTTTCCACAGAAGGGATTTTAGCAGTCACTTCAAGAACAAAACTAAGATTGTTACTTTATGAATGTAAATAGTAGAAAGAATTAGTCATTTTACACTTCTTCACACACAAACAGATGACACATTACCACGAAAATCTGCCTGGAAGACAAAACAATCAGCATGTGATCACAAAGAATTAGGAGAAGACACATAAACAACACAAATTTAATTCTGATTTAATGATTATTTTAAAAAAAAACTTCTTAGAGTTACAGTAAGCCCTTTTTTGAGTGTCTGAGGATCTTAACAGACACTGAATTACCTTCATTTTTCATCAAAATTGACTTAGAATTGATGCACTAAAGTAACAAAAAAAAAAAGCCTGAAAACAGTCAAGTCACATTCCAGTACCCAGCCCCTAGAAACTATATAATGCCAAACGAAGGTATGTATAAGACTTGAATTACATCTGCCCCGTTGCCATATGTTTTTTTTTTCCATTGCATGACCACGTCTTCTCCTCCCTCCCCAGGATTTCCACCTTATCTGGTGCAGAGGACAGTGCTGCACAGGGCACGAGCAGCTATACCCACTGTGCGCAGTGGGGTGCTGGTGTGCACACGTACGAGGCACGACCCAGCAGTCTGCTCCTTGCTCTGCACAACCCTCAGCGGAGAAGACATTGAGAGCACGACAGAGGAGCAGCTTCCCTCCTTCCCTGCTCTCCAATGCCAGACTAAACACAGTATTCATCAGGATGATTTTAATTTTTTTAACCCAATAAATCCATGACTTTACCAAAGACAAAAAAAAACACAAACTTTTTTTTCCTTCAATTTATGGAACTGTAATATTTTACTCAGTTTCAGCAAATATATTGTGCCATACATTATAACATTTTCTCTACAGACCTAAATATTGATGACAAAAGGTTGCAGACTCAGACTACAGCTGTACAAATAAAGCCTAAAACATAAAGAGCAGAATAGTGGTACTGTGTTACCACATAATCTATTCATATATATCAAAATTATTCACATCCAGCTCAAATTTATTCAAATAACAGCATGGTTTTATTATGTCAAGGCGTCATAATCAATAGCTGGTCTCATGCAAGGGTACAACAAAAACCACAGAAGCAAGTGCTCAGTTTGCAGAGCTGCCACCAAGCAGTTCAGGTCCTTTGGCTAAACAGAAGACCAAATCCAATGCTCACACTAACTCTCTTCCATTCCTTCAGTTTTCAATAGATCTTCAGAAATATTAACCTCTTTCTAAACCCTCCCTTGAGAGCAACTGCAGATAAAGAATCTTTTCTGCTTTAAAAGCAGGTGACCATGAGAGAAAGCCAAGAGTTTCCCTCAGTTGCCACTCTCCAGTAGCCTTCTCCTGCTCCATAGGCAGTTTTTCTATTTTAATTCATCCATGTCTATGGGAGCCATTTCCACTTGAGACACCTACGAGACACCTTGAGACACACTGCTAAGTCCACAACATGTTTCAGCAAAAATTTGGTGGAAGGTGTAGTCCAAGCAGATGCAGCCTATCTCACAGGCAGCCAGCTGTTAACACCGTAGCATCAATTCATTTCAGCTTACTTCCAATACATCACTTTTCTCTGTCTTCTTAGTTGTTCTCAAACTCCATGATTACATTGTTCCCTAATGGTTTGGCTTTTGTTGTCATCATACCTTCATATTTGCCACCTTATCATCTCCAGTATCAACCACTGATAAAAACTTACACAGTTTTTTCCAGACTGTTGATTAATTATCGCTTGGTACAAGCCATTTTATAATAGGCTGTTTTTCTATGCAATTCATTGCATATTTTCACCCTTAAGCCATTAGCAACCTTCAGCTTACTTTCAACCAAGTCCTTTGCAACCCAGCCTCAGGCAACCAATACTGCTTGGAAGTTCAGTCACAGAAACATCAGTTATAAGCCATCTGCAAATTTTAAAAACTAGCTTCGTTTCTGTCTGCAGTCACCCTCACCTGCCTTTGACAAATTCCCTCCCATCACCATCGGGCAAGGGAAACTTTTGATACGCCACTGCTTGGAAACGACAGCTCAGTATTACCTGTGCCTTCCCCGCCGTAGCTCAGCTCTGGCACTGCCCTACGCTTGGCATCTCATCTGGCTGTACTCCTTCTACCGCTTCTCAGCAAGCACTGGCCTTCCTGATCACTCTCCTCTGACTTTTCAACACCTAATAGCACGATCGTTTCCACAAACTTCTTCAAAGGAGCGAACTGGGTCACTGAGCCGTCTTCCCTCGCTCATTTCGAAACATTCTTGCTTGCCGAAAAGCAGCGGCACGGTGCTGTGGCAGCCCTACTCTGGGAGACCGGGACAGGTGCCGCTTCAACTGGGGAGTTTGGTAATCTTGCAAAAACTGAAAGTCATTTCTTGCTTTGGTTTCTAACCACAAACTTCATTAAAGAAAAAAAAAAACAGGAAAGCGTTTTCGTTTCTGTTTTGAAGTTGTCGAGACAATGGTATATATTTAAGCTGAGGGGTTTACTTTTAACTTAAAGTTCTTGCTTGATTCATTATTACTATTTAAGTGGTGACGTTTAATACTTCACTTGACAGCTAAATGATTACCACAGTTAAAATTTTCTGCAGTATATTAATAATTTTCCATTGCAAAAGCTATCTTAACCTGCCCATAGAAACTGGTATTTGGCAGTATTTTGTCATAACCAAGTTGCTAGTCCTGAACTCCTCATGCCCCAAACAAGACTATACGTTGCAATGGAAGTCCTGCCCAAATTAAAGCATGCTCAATATTGACACAAATTTTGAGGAATTTAGAGAAATTTTTCTTTATTCTTTACAGAGGATGTGCAGACTGCAATTTTTCAATAGTTTAGGCCTTAACTTATCCCCAGTCAATTTTTGTTATGCCCTAAAGCACATCCTGATAAGATGCTAACGTTGCAGTCAAACTTCAGTCCTCTCCGATTTCAGTTAAATTTCAGCTTGGATTTTGCCCTGGACAGCAAAAAAATTATTGATCAAGCAGACAGCTCAAGTATTGAACTGCCTAGTCATAGGCTCAGCAAACACTAGGACAAACAGATCTATCGTATTTATATGCAAATGCAAAGACTTACATTTGACAGACTATATATGTCATCTCTTGATTACAACTTGACTGGGCTTTAGCATTTTCCACTGCTTCTGGTGCATTGCGGCTTAAAAACTCCAGTTATTTACGTTCCAATAGCTCACTAGCATTTAACAGGCATTAAGATGTCTATGTTTCCTATACAATGGAAAGTATTAAACTCCCAAGAATATTAGCATCATTTACCTGTATGTGACCCAAATGCCTAGAAATATGCCTTCAAATGTAAAAATGGACTCCCATCTACGCTCTTTCAAATTTTCTGTTTTTTTTTGTGCAACACTC